GGTAAGTGCTGTAATAAGATAAAAATGCTTAATAATACCGTCACATGATATGCACCATATCTTTGCTCATTGCTATGTTATTATCTCAGTCAGTTACTTCACCTAACTATTAAGGCTTGCGTGACGATCGAGCTATTAGTGTTTGATTTCTTCTCGGGTTGTGGTAGTTGTTTCTTGTGCTAACCATTTGTTTGCTGATCCGTATTCTCTCTCTCTCTCTCTCTCTCTCTCTCTCTCTCTATATATATATATATATATATATATATATATATATCAGTGTATGAGAAAGTGGGTAGTTGTGCCTAAACACCTTAAGGTGCAATGCCGAGCTGTTCCTGCTGTTTAAATCAATTCATTTCGATAAAGCAATCCACTCTGAACTGAAAGCACTCCTCCAGTTCGGTGATATGTCTTACAAGTCAAGTTGTGGCCCAAACTGAGAGTTCCTAGAAGGAAACCCGACTTACGACGGTATTCTGGAAAACACAAAGCCTACTTTACTTGTTCTTTTACTGCCAAATACTGCTGATTAATTGATGGTCAATCATATGCCTATGTGATCAACACAGTGTTTGTTCTGCTGTGTGACACAGTAGGTTGATGACGATAAACAATTGTTAGACACCAAGAGAAATTCTGTTCGGTTCTTTTTATCAAAACCCATAGGTGGCAACAATACCCTATGGCAAAGTAACTACTAAGAAGGTTCAATAGTTGCAATACGTTGCGGGTTACATGTTAGGATAATAACTTCTCTCTCGCAGAAAAATGGGTCGGCGTCTAAAGGTAGGCTTACACTTGTTAAGCCACCAAGCAGATTATAATATTCTACTCAATATGATGAAGGCTGTTGGTAACCATTGTGAGCAAGTTCCATTATTGTGCTCAAACACTCCCACTGAGCGCGGTAAATGGACATGGATAGCAGCATCCAGTTCCGGACTTGCCTGTCACCGCGGTCTCCATAGTACAGTCACAGGACACCTGCGCCTATAGAGGGAGCATTGGTAGCTTGCACTGCACCAACCACACCCCATCTCCGGTATAGAGCCGGGGGAATACGAGCGGGAGACATAAAGATAGGAGCCACATTTCATCAATGGAGCCCCCATACTTCAACATGCACAGCAGCAACATTCCTGTCTATTTATTTTGGGAATTACGCGTACCAGTCGTACGCAAGGCTGTGGCTGGGTCGCAGTCCACTCTAAACTGGATGGAATCACTCTTTGGGCCTAGCACGACCACGAGGATGATGAACCCCATCCCAACCCAGCAACGATTCACAGTATCCTGAGACCAATATTGGGGGTGGCGGGTGTTAGCCTGGCAGGCACCTTGTCAACATTTACACCAGACGCAGGCACAACGGCGATATCAAACAACCAACATAGAATTTGAAGGAAAAACACGAAAACTTCATACGGAATACACAGCAGGATAACAAAACTAAGCAAAGTAAATAAAGTGGAAAAATGCGCATCCAGCTTAAGAAGATATAGTTTAAGTGTAAACTGGTGTAGCCCAATTGCGGCAAAGGAGATTGATGCATGCAACATCACACCACGTACATATCTGTTAACGTGGATAATCTGGTGAGCCCATAGATACGTGTTTCACCTTAATGTAACTTTATTTGAACTTATGTAATTCACACAAACCATCCACGGGGCCTGTCAAGCCTTGGCTAGTTTATCCGTAATGTACCATTATTCCACTGGACGCCAGAAGAACTTACTGGAGCACGGAATTGTGGAGATGTTAGTTCGAACTTCGAGTTCAATGTTACGTCGGACCAGTTAAATGATAGCGTGCAATTTGGATACGAGGAAAATAAGCCTGAAATGCGGTGTACTCACAGTTGCAGCAACTGATGTCTTCAATTGGTCAGTATTTGATTCACATAACTTCCCACCAGAAATTCCACAGATGTAATATGTCCTCAGGCAAATTGGCTTATCAGAGCCGGTTTCAACATTTCCTCCCTCAAACGAAACTATGGCCTACCTGTCAGTTTACATAAATCAGGACCTATTGCACATCATCACCATCATCAACACACGTTAACCGAGGTTGGCAAAATACTGCTCAGCTACAGTTCGGCAGCAAAAAAGATAAGATTAAAACTACAGACTACAAAAGCTAAAAAAGTAACATAATGCTGAAATCACATTACGCATTAGTTTTGAGGTCGATGTTGGAGGGCAAATTTAAAAGGGCGGGGAGGGAACAGAGCTTAACAACAAACGCCATTGTGGTCGGCTCCTCGCCGCGTCAGCTAGCGTATGCAACAGAACGTCTTCATCGTCCTTCGATCCCCAGCCCGACCGTCGGGAAACACCAACGGATGCCAGGGTCGAAGTGAGGGACTTTGGTCTTGGTGAGCAAGTTACCACTTAGCCACCCCTCCTTTTCTTCCATCAACACCCTCGGCGTGCAAACAACGCACGTCGCATGAGTCGGTGAGCTGGTATGCGTAATACATGGCCCAGCCAGCGGAGACTGGTGCGTGATATAATGGTGCTGAGCGATTCGCTCGCTCCTCCTGCGCCAAATACGCGACGCCGAACACACTCATTGTTTACTCGGTGTTCCCACCAGACATAAGTTAAGTTGCCAAGGCAGCGATGGTCGAAGGTACCTAGCCTCGTTATGTCGGTAAATTTTATGGGCCAGGTTTCGCTGTAGCACACGCAAGCTTACTATTACTAAGCAAAGCAGTACTCATCTTCGTACAGAAAAGTACTCCTATGGGAACGCCACTGTCACGGTGCAGGAACCAGAGAGAGTTCGGTGCGTTTGAGACAACCGACAGTTGAAGTCCGGTTCATTGAGTTGCTAATCCTAGGCACCAGCATAGGGAACTGCTGTCTCTATCTTCGATGTATGTTGGTTTGGTGTTTGCACCATAAATACGTTTGCGTAAAACCACAGCGTTTCTCAAGTAGCATTCCCGGCTTTCCTTCGTCAGCAGAACACGAAGGACAAGTAGGACTATGCCATTCTTCGCTACAAGCGTGACCTGCGCCGGCGGTGCCACAATAAATATGGTCAGTTGTCATGTCTAACACGGAAAACATCAATGAAAACTGTTAATAAAACAAACTTTTGGAGCACAGTGCGATTGTAAAGAGATCGATAGAATTGTAATAGGTACTTATTGAATAATATTTAGTTGGAAGTAGATTCATACTGGAGCTCCCAGACGTCGCAGGAATCGCACTTTCACAAAGAAAGTGATCTCACGGATACGATGGAAGTGTTGGAACACTCAAAATATTTCTCTTCCGCACAGGATATTGGTCTGCTATATATCACGTTGCAAAACAAATAATTGGAAAGCTGTGTCACTTCACTGTATTTTAAAAACTAGAAATTATAGGACTGATAGCGTTATACCTTTTCTCTTTTGCATATGTAATTAACTAGTCCATTGTTCTGCATTTCCAACTGTCTAATTCGCTGAGATTCAAATGAAGAGCAGCTAAAAATATACTAAGGTTCTATATTTTAATGATCGGTAACTTCGTCCTATTTTAGAACTGCTGGGTTGGTGAATCTAGCCTGCACTTGAAAGGCGACAGTGATTTATATAACACCCGCCGAATTATCTGCAAAACGGGGGGAAGTTATCGCAGACAAAATTGTTGGAGATGACGTTCGTTCAGTTAAATGCAACGACATGTCGATACAATTGGTTGTCGAGTCAACATACTAGATCACTGAATTCAATATTTCAGTGGTTTGCTAACACATCCGTAAGCAAAATTAAAAATAAATAATCCAAACGCAGGCTTTAGGTGGCCGGGATCCGGAAGCTGTTTAAGCAGAAAGCAAGTTGACCAGATTTAGGTGGAACCAGGCGTACTCAGATCTATTTAAACCTATAATGAAACCGAACTGTCCTTTACCAGAAGTAGCATGATATGTAATAATGATAGTGGTAGTTCTATGTATAACTGATTGATTTGCATGCCGAAAACATATTGCGCTCTTAAGGAAACATAAATATTCATTTATTCATATTTACTTTGCTCAGGGTATAAGCAACTCTTAAAGCATCATATTGGATAAATCTGCATGTTATTAACGGCAATTGAAAGGCCGCGTTTAATGAGTTGGTCACCTTTTACCAAATAGTGTAACAACAGTGTAGTTTATGAAGAAGTTGCTAGACGAACCGATGTAGCTCAGTGTATTACTTTGAGAATTTGTTGCACGGTTGCGGGTTTGAATTAGCTCTCAGAGCACCCTAGGCCATAAGTTTAATTACTCGGACTATCCTTATTGACTGCAAGCGAATGATGGACAACTTTAGTTATGTAAACATTGGTCCGGCGTTGCTAGAAAATTGACGACGTTTCGTTCCTCCATACCCTGCCCATATATCTTTTCAATCAGTAGAATACTCATTCTTTCGTACGTATAAAACGCAAATATGTTAATCCTTTCGTACCTAGAGGTCACCGTTGTGGACGGCTATCATGGCTAATTCCGCAGCTACACAGGCATTGTTCACGACCTCTGATGCAAGCAGTCCACTGCAAAGACATTGCCCTGTATGATGTGACCATTGACGGCTCGGTAAATTTTTAAATGATTTCTTACACTCCAAATCGATTAAAAATTGCTAGAACAATTTTTCATTATTACTTCAAAAATTTTTGCGAGAAAGGCTTGATACTCTTTTCTCTGCATACATCACAGATCGTCACCGAGCGCATGTGCTTCAACCTCTAATCATTTATGATCTCCGTGGATTCTCGAATGTCAGTTGGATAGCTGATGGTAACATTCGATTCAATTTAACAAAGATGCTCCTTCCAACACATTCCACCCACTGAAAACTTTGTTCGTTCCTAATTAAAGGTTTCGGTGTTCGAAAAATGTAGTGGTCTTGTAGAAATGCAGACGTACATACCACGCATTTTCCATTCCCGAATCGCGTACGAGAGGTTGTAATAGCCCATGGGCAGAAGGGATGATACATTTTCGCCCTTCTACACCTAACACAAAGTAGTCTAAATGGAATGGTGAATGATGATCCATTGCAGACGTGTTACATTTTGTTTCTGAGCCTCCTTGACAGCCACATGAAGGGTTATAGCCACGAATGCTTTGGTAACATGGTTACATGACGTGATCTTCTTAAGTGGAGTAGCTAAGCGAGATTTACCATCTACGATAGAGCCAGTTCGAGGCCACTTCACAGTAAAAGAATAGTCACTGCCACTCCTACGAATTAACCCCTTTACTCGCGAACTCCAAACACGTGCGTCGTCCACTAAAACAGACAAAACAAGCTTGAAAGAATGGTCGCATGCCGATCGTTTGTTTAATGAGAGGTCTACCCAAAGTTATTGAAGTCGTTACGAATGCCCTCAAATGCGATTTCCTTGTTATAGGTGATTGAAAAGCAGTTCATTGTACGCGTTAATGCTGATGCACCACTAGGTGTAATCCAGATTTGTTACACTAGAACTGAAGCATAACCCCGGTCGGAAAGTTCGTAACAAGGTTTATACGTTGGTTGTAGCAAGGATTGAGACAAATATAATTAATTTTCAGCCGGATACCTCATCTTGTGGAGTAGAGTACCGAACATACACATGTATGAGAGCAAAATAACACGTCGTAATGAACATGAAAGTTGCCGTGGCATAGACTAGATTATGACCATGTTCCCATAAGAAGGATTGCCTGATAAGCTATTCCAGAATGAACCAACATATCTATCAAGTTGAAGCCAAACATACTCATACATGGTCTGTACTTTTAGCAGACAATGTTTGTCGTTCGAAATGGACCGGTTCCCTCCACACTATCCCAAAATTACTAACTTTCATATGACATAAAGAAAAGTAGTACTGTCACTATACCGAAAGTTTCCATCATAAAATGCCTTTTGGTTGGTGAGTCTGAAACGCTAACCTAGGAGCAGCATGCCAATGCTAACATTTATCCCTCAATTCCCACGTAAACCGTGTGTCCACGTCACTTAGGCTTGTTGAGCAGACTAAACACATAAAGGGCATCCATCTTTCCAACTTTGAGACCCTACCGCTTAATATTCTACAAATCCTAATCCGATAAATACGATGTGTGCTAGGAATATGTCCAGATAAAATCTACTCACGAACACACGTAACACTCGTGTTAGCTTATGAGCACATCCCATATAGAATCTGTTGCGTTCTTGAAACAACTAGCAAGTAGACTTCGTACAACAGGTGTTGGCAGCTTAGTGGCATCACAGTGTAAAAACACACCATAACCCTTGAATGGATCATTCCTTTACCCCCCCCCCCGCCCCTCTTGTATGTGGATCGTGGTGTACGCACAATAAAAATCATACAAATATTCTGACTTCTATTCGGGAAGGATTAGCTACTGCGTCTAAGTGTATACTAAACAAAAACTACAGACTGGTTTCGAAAGAAATTGGTCAGAGAACATGTGGCAGAGCTGCAGGTTAACGCAGTAGCAACACATCTGGCGACACTCAACTCCTAGGGACAGAATATAACCAGTAAAACACTGTATTTCACATTCCGATGTTGATTTAGGGAAAGGGAACCGATAGTGCTATCCCGATAGTGCAATCACTGTTTTGCTTCATGATGGGTACTTACGTCACAAATGCCAACCACCTCTGTCTGCAAAGCTAATTTCCCGAACCTAACGCCTCAGTCCTCCTACATCACTGACATACTGATGCGACAATGCCGTGCTTCGGATATAGTAGGACATTCAAGTCGAAAAGCATCTGTATCATCTGGCTCGTGGTTTATCTAAAATCACGTACATTGCACATGCAAGAGTATCGGACTGACACAGTTAGGTGAAACAACAAGCCTGAGAACACACAGGGAAAAACATTTAGCTACACTGACTACTACCACCCATCAGCGGATAGACCTTACGTGTTCGATCTGTTTGCGTGATGCGTAGACCAAATCGGCCCCCCGTCGCAACCATCTTCGTGTGGCCGGTACAGCATAGCCCAGTCCGAGTTCGTACATCCACGCAGACACCACGTCTTTGTCCCAATGAATAAAATCTCTAAAATGAAGTCGAAATTGCGGTCAAAAGGAAAATAAATTTGTGACCTGTAATATGGCGCTGGATAGATAGGAATGCATAATATGGGATGCCAGTGTCTCCAAACAGTCTTGGTAGCTCGAGTAACTACTGACCCACAAGATGAGAATCAAAAATTGTGAGACCTTAGTAGGAACATGTTAAGCGAAAAAAGGTGCTTTATGGATCGAAATCACACAATCTCAAAGCAACTTGACAGGCTCCTGGTAAGTGTACAGCAAACCGAAACAGGCCACCCATTAGGCGGAGGCGTGTATCACTACGTAAGACTCGTTATTTCTGCTTTGGACATTTTGGTTTGGGCTATCTGATGATAAGTTCTTTGCATACTACGAAAGACCATGCCAATTGCCATATTATCGTTGAAAGTTTAACAATTTGCAAACTTTTTTAACGAAAGAAGTGAGTTTTCCAGAGGAACAAAGTGCCAGCGATATATTGCAGCACTTACTTTGCTACTTATCTCGAAAAGATGCGTTTTCAATCATTCAGAGCGTGATATTACAAAGCACATGATAAGGAACGCATAGCCATACTTACAAATCTCCAGCATTTTGCTCCCGTTTGCTAGATCCCTTCATTGGGACGGCCTGAGACTTGAAATGGCCTGAGATATTGAGGTCAGTGATGTTCGTAATTTCATTGCTTATTTTCATAACCCCCTTAGGATATAGCAGTGTTGGGTTATATCTCCCTAGCACTTTGCGTATCTGCCAAACTCATAAATCATATCGCATCCGGACACGGCGTAATCGCAACACTTTGTTACCAGAAACTAAGCTCGCTCGTAAATTTTTTCATTTATTATTTTATCAATATCTACGGCCGTCTGAAAATGTAGATTTTACTAGTGCGACGTGTAATTATTGTCCGCAATGCAACATAGCACAACTTTGGCATCAATACTTTATTTGGCAGTTATAAAACTGCATTATTTTTTCATTTGTTTTACATCTGCTTGACGTGTAAAAAATTTATTTTCAGTAAAATACAAAATTGGCGTTTATCCTCGTCGAGGCATATTATTGTGCGTGAATTTTAATCGTGGCTTCTACTTTCTTCGAACATTATCCTATTATGTTTAAAATCCACAAAATGTTGCAGTTTGCAAACAGCCTACTAACTTTTTATGAAACATTATACTTTTGTTGCTTTCGGTATTTTTGCTGCTTTATTAAAGCTATTTTTCACTCGAAATGGTTACCGATGAACTGCACCTTCAGCGTAAACCGTTAACGGAATTTCTTCGAACAGTTTCCATTTTCCCACTGACATCTCTTTTTAATCCAGTATCTTGCCTCTTACTTTATGCTAGCACTTTTTTTATCTCCACTGATGCACTATAGATATGAGGCACCGAAGTACCCTGAAGTGGACAGTGGTGTGCGCTAGGAAAATAGAGGAGGATCGAAACAGACGCATTTTACCAGCCATATTAAGAGAAGAATTAAAACTACCTATCCATGCGAATGATTGTGCAAGCTACATGATACGTAAAATATTGCATGTTTCCCCCTATTGAGTGCACATGAATTCACCACCTTTGCTTCCTTTGGGTTGTTCGAAATCACGAAAATGTAATCTCAACCTTGTTAAAGATGTATTCATTTATAAATATGAAGGGTAGCTACACTTTAATTTGGCCTTTCGCAGGATATACCCTCAAGAGGGCTGGAGAGTACACCGTTGCTAATTTGAAAAGTCAACCAAATTAACCAGAGCAACACCCTACTTGAAAACTACTGTTCATTCAGTCAATAGAGTAAGTCCTATTATCTGCGCCATAGATTATCAGTAAAACTGTTTTCCTTAACGTTGTCGAAGAATCTGAGTTGCGTGAAAACGATGGTCCATCAGCTTTGAGCCTGCCTTCCAAATACTTCAGTTGCGACACTCAAAGTAGATGCCGTCATAGAACCTAATAAAGCTTGGGTTGCTTAACGGAATCCTGATCCGATGCCTGTACTTTGTGCTCACTTAATACTACTTCCCTGGACAGATACGTGGTGAGAAAATTTTGCTTCCAATTTACCGGACCTAATATGGTTTGTAAATGGCAGGGTGACTTTCGCTATCTTTGTTCGCTATCGCTCGGACTCCGCGAACACCTGGCGCCGGCTACCCGATCAGTGAAATGCATCAATCTCGCACTGGACACAGATGACTGCCAACAGCTTCCACAAACGTTTATGTTATGAAATGAGAAACCCTAATCTATTTACCAATATAGGTTGACTGTAGTATTCATGTGGAGGAGTTAAGCTTCCTACCGGTACTACTGGTGTATGGAGGTGAAAGATAAAACTCTGCTTAACTAAATGATAGATTTATCCGTAATACTGACATGTTACTGCACATTTCTTCTTGTTCGATCTCAGTACGAAACCTAAAACAAAGGTTGCTTAGCAGGGTTGGCTACAAGACAATTGTCCCCACATTCAAGAACGTAGTGTGACATGGAGAACACTGCCACTATTTTAGCGCGGAAAGAGTGGCACACAATTTCATCCATGGAAATGTATTGTACATTGCTGGTAATTCGCCAAAACCATGAGCTTGTTAGAAAAGCAGATTGCTCTCTCACTTGGAACTGATAGACTCAGTGCTGCTCAGTCTGCTCACTTATTCGGAGTACTTTAGTCCATGATTTTCACACGTATTGCAGGCACCCAAAATGAAGGAGAGTGAATTTGGAGGCCAATTGTTCCCATTTGTGCCAAGCCTTAACGCAAAATTGTCTGACGAGCGCAGTCATTTTGACTTTCTAATAGGTGACCTCTGTACCTCTAGATAAGCAGCCTGGATACATTTGTTGATATGACTAGGAGTCGACTTCTGTGGCGTTCGTGCTGTGAGTTTCGTTGTCCCGCCCGATCCCTCTTAGCCTCCCCTTCCAAACACCATCTCATTATTTAGCATTTTATACTTTTGCATAGGCAATCCTTTTTTCTGCTGCGTAGTAGCCGGCAGATGGCTTACCAGAACGATGCTCATCCGTTTCCGGTAGCTCAGCTGGCTTTCAGCTGTTGCATTTTATTCCCTTTTTCTTTTAGGCATTGCGCCACAGTAGCTAAGGTGTTTCCCACCTCTAGCTAACGTGTATATTGTGTATGTGTGTGTGTGTGTGTGAGATAAGCAGCCATCTAGCCTTTCTACTTAGTTCACCGCTCATAAGCGACAGCAAGTAGTTACGGGCACTATGGAATACCTTAGTACTGAACTATCTGAATCAACGGTTCACCTAACATAATCAATTGGGGCAGAGAACACATGTCCCTCGTGACTGCCTACAAATTACAGGATATCAGGTACAGGGTATCAAAAACATATGGGCTAAGATCTGATGTTTCTTAGCATTTCAGTGATTACATTTGGTGTTTACCCGAGGTTCTGCAATTCAAGCGGACGTTTTTCCTAATAACACTTGCATAAGCACTTGTCTCAAACCCCATTCATCTTCACGGATGACCGAGACAATACAATTAATGCTGCATTCGTACCAATGAGCGTGGAGCACATGTTTGGGCTCTACCAAACGAGTTCTCCGACTGTCCAATTGTCAAATCCCTGGGCTTCAAGAAGAAATTGAACAAGTGTCAATCTGACACAGTCAATCTATGTCCATGTGCAATGTATTGATGGCTTTCCTGAAGTCCTGCATATGCTGTCGAAGCAGTGTCTAACACTGCAGCAAAACAGCCGGTTTCCCAGTCATGTAAAAGAGGATGCAGTCAACGCAGGCAATGTATCTACAAAAGATGATTTAGTGCGGCATGCATGAGATCTTTAGTCAGAAGCCAAATGCGAAACCTTCCATTCCTGACCCTGGTTTAGTTGGAGGTAATTGCAAAGTGCCCCAGGTAGGCTGCCGATCGTTGTCTTTGACATGCTGCGGACATATCACAGAGCTGCACTGCTCGCGTTGGTGTATTTCACAACAAACAGACAACAACGGCAATGAGTCAGTAAATGAATGAATGCATCGCTTCCGTGCTACTAGGAAGATCTTAGGAATGAAAATAATAGGCGGAAGAAAAATGGGGACTGGTAGTAAAATGTAACTTCCCTAAGCAAGCGGGCAAGGTCAAGGCGCCTACACATTGTCACAAACCCACGGTCACAAACAGCCGATTATCTTGCGGAGATAAGGCAACATTTGTGAGATAAGATTTTGTGACTTTCACTGCCTCGCATAACAATCCGCTATTATCCACGGAGCACTCAGTACTAGACAATTGTAAACAGGCAATACAACTAGGAAAGGGCATCAAACTTGCCGTCTGAGAGCCTTCACCTATAAAGTCATCAACCAAACACAAGGCGGGTTGCGTTAACTCCAACCTGGAGGGGGAGACGGACAAGTCATTGCGCAACCCGATTTTGACTCAATAACTGGGAGCCAACCGGTTTCACGATTGACTGAAGCAAGGAAAACTCGCGTAGGCCTTATAGATGTGTATGGGTAAGAGTACTTGTATTATGCCGACACCTCGTCCTGATGACTCGCATCCAGTACTTCTCAGCAGGTGCGCGCATGCCGAGACTTCGCAAAGTCATCCGCACCTACCAAGACTCTAACAGGTGACTCGTTAGTTACAAGCTGAACAATCAAATCATAAATTACCAGTGGTTGGTTTAACTCTTTCAAAAGTGATTTGACCACTAGGAATGACAGTGATAACCAGGCCACAGCACAGCTCTAGAAAACTAGCGCTAAGGCTGCTCACTCAGTAAGTGGTCTCTAGCACCACTCTATTGAGAAGTATTTGCATAGGAACTTCGTCCAATGCTAAAAGAGGTATACCGTTAGTGCATTAGGTTTTTATTCGGTCATCTTGTAGAGTGCTAACTGTATATTGGATATACGAAACTCTTTCTCCACTTTACCGATCGGAATTTGAGCTGTCAAGAAGACATATGCTGGCGTTCGTTCACTATTCATGCCATGAATTAAACAGAAAAGAGCATTCCGTGGATCAGTACATGGCTCTGGAGGATTCCAGATTAGAACATACTACTACAGAACATTCATCAAAGCTAGGCAGCAGGTATTGGTGTGTCCAATCGGCTGTAAGCAACCTTCTTCAATAAAAGTAAACAATAGTTTGTTTATGTGAGTACTGCTGTTTTGGCTTTGTTCTATATAGCCTTGCCCGAGCTATGTCCAGCCCAGTTTACATCCACCCTAGTTTCTTGAAGAGAGGTGTGCATTTGGACCGTGATGCCTGTGGGCATATTGTGGTGACATTAGATTCGCAAACTGACTAATCTTGTTAATCCGGTTTCTGCATCCTCAGCATACTTTATTGATATGTGCGTATAAAGTGATGTGGCTGACAGTGTTTGCAGCACACCAGACCAAATTTGGCGGGTTGCCCCATCAGTATCCCGTTTAAAAATCATTTAATTAACAATCCCAATATGTAGCTTGTGAGGTGAAGTTTGAATGTCCTGCTAACATCAGACGGTGAACAAACAGTCAGCTGAACGCTGGCAGGTAGACAGTTATAAATGCACATCAATTGAAAGGATGACATAAGCCAAAAGAAAGTCGTCTTCCGTTTCAATAAATAGGTAGGGTTCAGTTTTATACTAAACGGTGACCACTATCTTAAGCCGAACTTTTCAAGTTAACACCAAACTTACTGTTGAGGTCACCCTAATCACACTCTTTTGAAAATCAGTTGAGAAACATGTCTCTCTTATTTTGACAATATTTAACTTAATCCCAACGACAATCTCACATGGAAGTCCCCAGATGCGTAAAATAAGGATCTCATTTTTAAAGGCGTTGTTGTATCAATCCTGGGACATAAATTCAATTGATGCATGTATGCCTTCAGTTGTCGTCCAAAAGCTGGTTCCTGCTTAAATGCTGCATCAAGCATCGCCACCTAATATGACAATTAGAAGAAGCCGCTAATTAGACTTTTAAACTTCTCTACTGCCTCCTCTTTCCTAACTAGAACATCCACGCAAATTGCCATATATGAAGTGCAAAGCAAGTTGCCAGCCGTCATTCACCTGAGTGACATCAAGATAAAGCATTAGGAACGTCCATCCGTGTCCAGTGGTTTATTTTGTAAACATAGTCACACCTAATCGAACCGACCAACTAGGATACGTGAATAAGTCAGTCCGATTTGTTGCATCGTTCAGTGATAACACTTGCGGTCAAAGCAGGACGGCCGGCTATACATTGATGGCCTCAGTGACACCTACCGGTGCTTCAACGCAGCGGTGCACTCTCAGCGGGGTATTTTTGATTGAACGCCACCTGAGTCGAGATGAGGGAAGCGATTCACTGAGATTGAATACCCTCTAATCGTAGCTTAGATACACAAATGAAGTTTGCGGTGCTTCCAATTAGCCTTTTCTTATTATGGCACGCTAATGTTGTCGTTAATGCTACGGTCACAATTGTAATAAATTATACGGAGGCGGATGCTTTAGGTTACCAGAAGGAAATAGGTTGAGGTATCAGCTTTGAGATGAAGAGAAGACTGATCTACGATGCTTGCTACTAGCTGAACTCATTGTGGTAATGAATGCACAGCATTAAAAGCGGATTGTAAACCATGACGGGCAGATATGATAATACCGTGCATACGTTATTCATATGTGAGGTGTAAAATGGCGGCAAAACAAGTTATCACTTGGCATAACGTTGTAAAGCGGAATAAAGCACCGGCACTGCTTGAGCTTGATCGTTAGCATTAATTTCGAAATTGTGATTCATTAGTCAAGCATGAATTTTGCAATGCTTTGTAAACGCCTCGCGGAAGCCAGAAGTTAAACGCTTACATGTAGCATCAGAGCATTACAGTGAAACGAGATGGATGGGTACTAGGTAGAATTAAATTAGCGCAGCTGTGCATGAGCAAAAGAAAGCGGACAAATGGCGTATACTTACAGGTTGATTGGCCTCCAGTGACAGTCTACAGGCTTATAAGTTGATGAAGCCAATGAGGTCTATGCTTCGCATTAAACAGACTTGACGGCGGAAATTTTGAGAATGACGTAGGTTGCAGTTATATTCTAGCAGCAATGGTTTACAACCGAACAACATTCGAATCCCCAGTAATAAACCATGCCTCTGAAAAGGCCGTTAGTACATTGTCTTAGATTTGGTAGGGCCAGGGACTTCGAAGTTTTTTAGATCGATTCTTTGGAAGGTTTATTGCTGTTCCAAGTTACACGTAAGCCGTACCTAGTTTTTCCAACTGGGAAGCATAGTCAACTGCATTCCTGAGGTCATAACGTTTTCGATATGCTAATCTATTCGCCCCCGTCTAAAAGTGTTTTTATCGCAGCTGCAGTTCAAAAGTAGCCACCAGAGGAATAAAGGTGTAACAATTACAAGACCAAATTGGCTTTAGCGAATAAGCCACTACTGGCCAAATAGTCTGTAATCATGTCTGTTGATCTGCCCCATCGACTGACATTTTCCAACAGCTGCCACACGCATCGCGTGCGGTCCATATTAATCCAGGTCATTATGGGATTCGAGAAATTTTCAAAGCTCAGATTACTTCTATTATCCACACGTGATTTTGAAAACCTTCCTTAAACGATGAAATTGAATCCCGTCGTTCTCCAAAATCAGGACTTCACGCGATGACTCATTAAGAGACAAACACCGTACCGACTGCCACAATGACAGATGAAGTTGTGTCTTGCGTGAATCCGGAATACGTAAAGGACTTATATGATAATAAAATCCCCGCACCGGCCCATGAATACAAAACAATCATCGTTTTCATCAAAAAGCGAAACGTCGTGGTTTGTTGATCAGCAGTTTCAGTGAGTGTTCCAAGGGGAGAAATATTTGAACAATGACCTACTCACATATCTTCCGACTCATCGATGGCATTCACATCAAGGCAAGACGCTTGAACAAACTGCGGGGTAGTGCCTGCGGTCGAATCGATGGGTCGGTCACAAACCCAGGACGTTGGGATTTGCGACGTGGATAGACAGGGTACAGATTGCCTGGAAAATGTATCACGATTCAGCATCCCGTTTGCACCCAGGTGCGCTTTTTCGCGAAGCACAATAGCTTGCGGCACTTTGGAGACCATGTTTCCCCCAGGCAAATTCGTGTGACTCCCAGAACTCTCTGGAATTGTTATGCGGAGGGAGTTCGAGCGACTGTTAGGAGTTTCATGAAGTAAATCCACTTGACTGGAAGTTGCTGTGTTTGAGGACACGTTAATACCGTTAGCTGATTGGGTGGTGTGTACTAGGTTTCGAGAACGGCATAACCACACGAAACTTGTTCGTCATCGTCATGGGCACGGTATGGGATTGGGGCACCGGTTCACACAGAATGGAGTGGAATAAAAAGCAGAGATTTGAATAGCAAAGAGCTTACATGCTGTTCGCACGTAAACATAAAGCGGTGAGTGTGAAGTAATCGCCTAGATGAAGCGTCATGGTGGTAAAGACGGTATAAAACCATAAAATGACGTTAGTTTGTATGTTAGCAAACCAGCTGTTGGATGAGCAGGGTGGTGCAATGTATCTAGTGCGTCAACTACATTTAAACTTAATGTTAACGAAATTGAAATAAAGGTAATAAATATTAGAGTATGCATCTAGTAGGTATCTAAATAGCAGCATTCACGTAAGTGTTTCCCATTTATCTTCGCTTGAGGAGGAAAGTGGATAAAAGATTCGGTAAAATTCGGAGGTTGGTTACTAGAGCTAGCAATGCGAAGCAATTAGAAGCACAATGAATCAATAGTATACCCCTGCAACATAGATTAGCTATTCAAGTTAGTACCACGCATCCCTTAAATAAGCGTGTACCCTAGACATTTATACCGCTAGCAATATCTTTCACTGACCGATGAACTTTAAAGATGATAGATTTACTACCCCTGATCAATCCGGCATTTTGGTACTGCTCTGTTCGTACTGCGCTGAAACAGCAATACGTACAAACTCATTGTTGTCCACCACAAGGTCTGTGCATGGTTTCAGCAAAGATTCGGAATACGTGTCAGATCCAAGTTAACTATTCTAACACAGGCTGTTCCTCAATTAGTGGTCTTTTTGAATTATATGGAGTACAGTAATGCAAATATAACGTTTGGCATCACAAACCTCTCGGAGATGTACAGAAGAAAAAAGAGGAACACACAACGGGTTACGGTCAGCCACCGGGTAAAAAGACGTTAGGTTGCTACCACTAGAAGTATGGAAATTCGTTCCAAACTAGTGGATCATTCGAACATAGGTGACATTTGTTACAGTAGTCACTTGCCGGTCAGTAGCCTTAGGGGTCATAATCCTGCCCTGAAATCGGAGGGACCGGGTTCCAGCCTAGTTAGGAGACCGGGCGACCCTCGCAGTATCACTATCCTTAGACCACTCGCGACTGATAGTGGCTGCGCGGCAACGAAGCTCGGGTACTGTATACTGACGTACTGTTGACGTCTTCTTTGACCAGAATACGTCATTTATAACTCAAAAATATTTAATTACCTTAGCTCAGTTGGCCACATCCATAGTTGTGTCAGATTACTCAGCAACGAAATCATGTTCTGCCATAGACCATTCGAAATAGCCGCTCGAGAGGATGAGATGACTGTCGCTCACGCAACGTTGTAGATGGTCGACTGGTATGTAGTTTGGGCTAGTGTTTCAACGGGGTGGTGAAAGTGTGTGGACCGCGGCACGTTTTGGGCTTTTGCATACTCACTTCGCCCAATGTCCAAATGACTGAGTTTAGTGAACGTGGCGATTCGATTCAAATGTTGAGTAGCCGGTCAGGTCACCCAGTCTCAGCCAAGTGGAAAGCTACTCAACATTTTGCCGTGATGGCGCACGCGGAAAAAACATCGCTCGCATAACACATCTCACATAGGTGGGCGAGTGCGTGCCAAGATATAGTCAACTACCACTCTCCATTGTTACATGTAGTCATCGCTACGCATCGGTTGTTCCGCATGGGCTTGACCAGCTATGAACTAGCTTCAGTGCAGCCAGTCATTGCTGACATTGTGCATCGTACGATGCGAGCACGGTCTAAAACATAGGCCTTCCGTGCCATACCGCACGATGCCACTGGGGCATTTGAGTTCAAGAGTCACCTGCACTTCATACTGTCTGTCCAGCTGGTACGCTATTGGCTGCTTTGGAATTGACCACTCAACGAACAGTGCCCATTTAGTGGCGGATGTGCAAATACGAAACAATTTGATGGCGTTAAGACCTATTTCGAATGATCTGTGGCTTCGCACATTTTTCTTAGACAGCAATTTAATTGCGCTATGGCAGCTAAGCACCTCCCGATATTCATAGTTCGTTGACTGCCAGCTTCGCTGCCGTATAATTGCTCAACGGAGTGGGTGATTAGAGTTAATGTCCTCACATGCCCACTCCACAAAACACAGCTTAATAAACGGCAATAGGTCCCATGCACAGCAGTTGTTGTCATCTTATAGCCAGCCGGAAAGAAAACGGAGCTCCGTTGTCTGTACCTACCATACATTACTTGACTTGCACGCAACCATCACTGCGTAACCCATAACTGCTGTGTAAGTTTTCATTGCCTTTAGCAGATCATACGATCTTTTAAGGACATGAAAGGCTAGTCAATAGCGAGACCAACCATACAGAGTAAAACTTGTCAGACACGAAACTGTAAACAAACACTGGAGAGTGGATTACACTCATATTGAGTTGTTAGCCGTGCGCAGAGCGGGTAGACTTATTTTTGGCACGACGACTGGGTCGTCCTCTGGCACACTTGTCGTCAGCACTCTCCGCCCTATTCATTCGAAACATGCACTTAGGTGTGTACTGATTGCGGAGCTCACCTGCGCAACACATTCGGGTACAAACACACGGGAAAGCCATGGATTAGTCAACTGCGCGGTGTACACACAACTTCCAACTTGCAAACATTCCGATAATTGCAAATATCTGGATGCTCGACATTCAGATCTGAGCTGCGTGTGATCACGGAACGTTCACCGAGGTCACATGCCTGGTCTGTGCATGTGACTGTATGAGCAGACTGAAACTCGTGGTGTAACGATGTGAAGTAGATTGTTCCCTAGAAGCATTTTGAAACTCAGTGCCTGTACTTCGAATACGAAGAAGTTAATAACTTAATAACGCATAGTCGAGCAATGGTTCACAGTTTAGTGCTTTATATAGAGCTTCCAAAATTCTTTAATCGTTCTCATCGAAGAACCGTTTGTTATGTTCCCAAGTTTGCAACTTGCCCTCCTCGATAAGCACAGTATGGTGTTGTATAAGCAGTTTGGTCTTATTGGTAACAGGGTAGTCTATTGGCTGTGGTTAACCGAGCATCAACCTACTTCACATCTGTCAGGGTAAAATGAGCCCCTACATTTGCAGCGGCCTATACTTGTATAGGACAGTCCCTACGCAACCTATAGGCTTAAGAAAACCCGTCTATTTTAACTATTGTGTGAAGCAAAGCAAATGGAAAATCATACGACTGTGGCAAGCGCCCACACAATAAGTTTTTATAACCTGAAAGAACCACAATAGAACTGACCAATCTGAATGCTATTATCTTATAGCCTAAGAAGATTGATCATCCCGAAAAGGGTATAAAGACAGCAAAACAAATAATTGTGCGTTTTAATTTGGCTACAGGCCAATGCAGGGCATGCCTGATAACTTCATTATTGGGGCGATAACTCGCTTCTGTGCGGCACGGTGCTGGATCTTTAACCGCCTACTGTCTTAAAGGACTTGAAAAAGGACTGTTATTTAAAAGAATGGGACATTGTTTATTTAGTTATAACTTACCGAGTTTCCGCGAAGAACTGCTTAATACGTGAATTTTTGTTCGCCTTGGTCCAAGCGGATCTGGAGTTGGCATCGTCCGGGTAACCTGAAAATCATGGTTTTCCTTCGTCTCGTACACTGATACAACATGTTTTCAAATTCACTCTTACTATTTAACGAATGTCTGTTACCACAGTGCATGAAGTTCACAATCTAACTTCTTTGTGGAATGTATCGGCCTCACTAGCACTGGATGTAACTCCTGTGCGACACCAAGCGCAGTGGTACTTGAAATGTTGTCTGTGATTTCTTTCACTCATACACCGCGGTTACCCTCTAGTATGTCATTTGAGGATACACGTAAAAATGTACAGTTGAAAAAGGCAACACTCAGTTTGTTCATTGTTATTTGCTAATAATTCTTGCGTTACTATTTTAGCAGGCTGCCTAATTTGAACAATCCACAATCCAGACCATCCCATGCCCGATCCTAGGTAACATTCTAAACATAAATGGACTTTAAACCTGTTTTTAAAAAAAGTGCCTGGCAACTTGTTATAACATATGCTTTTTCAACAAACCTCCCGGCCTATGTCGATGCTATTTCGGTCGTATCTCCTCCAAGAGCCTTCGGCGAATGTGCACCGATTTGCCGAAACACTGGCTACCTTTCGCGTTGTTTTTTTTACAGCAACACCAAGCTTCGTCGCAACAATGTTCTCGAATACACACTCCGTTGGCGTTAGCATGAAAATCGAAGGCTTAAAAATAGCCATGTGGACAGTTGCGTAAGAAACGGAGTGTATAAACTAAACGAATATATTGTCAACAGCTTCCTTTTTGCCCGACATGTTTGTCACAGAAACGCTTACCTTGCTCAACTAATCCCAACAAAGCCCCCATACTAGAATGCGAGATCAGGGAGTTATCGTTGCAGTTTACTGTTATGGCTTCATGACTCAGTCCTCGATTTACGGGAAACTTTAATACCCTTGAAATGGAAGCAGATGTGGGTCAGTGCCTTTCCCCTCAACAACTGCTGCAATCGTCTGTCACTAACAATTGAGTCCTGCAGTAACATGGACCAAGACGTGAGTGGCTTACCTCGAGATGAAGCGCTAAACCCAGTCACTTTGGTTTCTTTGTGCAGTACAACAGAATCATATTAATTTCAAAAGCACTTAACAAGTCTGCTGATGAGTGGCTATAAGAAATGCTGAGTAATCCCTGTTCAGTAATTCGCAGCTTACGCAACAGAATAATTAGGTTCGGAAACGATGAAATTACATGGCACCTGTTGTTAACTAAGTGAGCTCTTCAAACCTGGCTAACTTGCGCTTTCTCATGCTATGTAAATAGTAACCCACATGCTTTGATAGTTGCTTTAGAACTATATAGTTTTGGCCCTTCATCCTGTTCTTCCTCTAATTACCAACGGGCAAATTTACATCAACGATATCTTGCAATCTATAATTATTGCCGCTCAAACGAACCCACCACTATTCCATAGCCGACGTGCAAGGAACAAACTGAACAACCTGGACAAGGCAGACTTTCTAGTTACCACCCAGCCCGTAGCTTAAAGGTAACGAGTTTGTCTTGTAATGTGAGTGCTCGGTTTCGAGCCTGCTTAGGGTCAGGGCGACCCTTGTAGTATTCTTAGCTCGCATGCGACCGGTGGAGGTTGCTCAGTAGCGAAGCATCGGTACGCAGTACCAGGGTACTGCTGAATCCTTTCTTTTTTCTTTCGTACATGTAGTAACAAGTACTTGCGCCGAACTGAGAAAAAACTGCCGACTAGGATTTAAGAGCACCTACCACGTAAACTGAAAAGAATATACAAGAAGCGTGACATATTTTCAGAAGGCACTGCGCCAGATGAATGATAGCCTTTCAAAGATAAAAGTTAGAAGGCATAATGGTGCCCATTCTATGAAAAATGCTGGAACTTAAAAGTGGAATCAACCGGCTCTTAGAAATTGCAGTTGGGTGCCTTTATGTTGTGTGAAACCTGGTTCCAAGAGGTAGTGGAGGATGAAATTAACGCAATATGTGTGTTCACTTGTCACATTGCCTATAGCCCACGTAGGCCAAGGAATCCATGTGGTGGTGTTATTGATACTGCCTCTCCTTTCCTCAGCTACTGCGTTGATGGTTAAATTACGTTAGGTTTACTTCCGTGCTTCATGCAGATCCGTTTGCAACCACATGCGAAGTGACAAGTAAGAGAGCAATAAGTATTTTCGGGTTTCCTTGCGACAGCTCCCGAATCACATAATCATGCAAGTGCCTGGGAAAAACACTAGAAGGTTGCCTCTTACTGTCAAGCTTCATCAGAATCCGAACCCATGACTACCAGTGGCTTGAACCGCCATCCAGTAGCCTATCCCACTGGGCGACGGAGGTACAGTGACGGACGGTCGGGATTTATAAGTTAACTATGATATAACCCTACTCATCATCCGCTTCCATGTAAGTTATGAATGCTGCATAGGACAAGATTGGCCCCAAGAAACACGACCCACTAACGGCAGCCATGTACGACATAGCGTTTAGAATATGTTAGGACGGATATGTTGAGATACTCATGAGTGGGGGATTTTGGATGTAATTAGTTGAGCGTTCATCGCAGCAGCTTACAAACCAGATAGTCATTCACGTGCTCCGAAAAGCACTAGACTGCCGTTTCAGCCCGTCGTGCATCACCAGCAGTGTATATCCATCGAATCCAACAAGATCCGGACCCATGCTTACAGGCGGTTTGCACCGCCAGTCAGCAGATTATGCCACTGGGCCACGGGGGACAGCTTCGGACCGTCATGCTTTACAAGCTAACTGCGATATGGCGCGACTTATCCTCCACTGCCATGCAGTTTACGAACGTTGCAGAAAACAGGTTTAGCCCCGAAAGGCACGATATACGTGCAATGACGGTAGCAATGTACGGCATAGCATTTAGAAATAGTTAGGACAGGTATTTTGATATTTCCTTCTAGAAGCACCCCTTCTACTATCAGCAGCTATGTACGACATAGCGTTTAAAAATCCGTTAGGACGGGTAGTTTGTGATACTCATGAGTACCGGATTTTTGGTGTTGCGAAGAAGCCCCCAATTGGTTGCATATAAACTCCCCTACATGCGATATTATAAATTATAGGCCAGTATGCAAAAAGCCAAGGTCACATGGATTTTGTTCCCAGAAATGTTACGGAGGCTAACTCTGTTAGAAAGAACAACTGTCTTATCTTATTATTTCACTGTACACAAGTTGACCCCGGGAATCAATAGGCACCACATTCGCTCCTCACTACTCTGGGTACTTCTGTCCTTCAGTTGGGAGGTTCTTTTGTATAGTGCTGTGTGTCTTCCCTCTCCGAATTCGCCGGCTACTAATTGTGCAAGTAGATAGACGAAGCGTAACACGATCAGGCAAGGACAAACTATGGAGATAAGTGGGATTCTTTAGTGTGTTGCTCATAATTCTTCGCGGACGACATCGAGGTTGAGCGGGCGATCAAGGGAATAGACGGCCACGAAATTCGCCAGCGCGACCTCGATGAGTCCTGGCACTGCTCGGTACGGAGCGCACTGCCATTCAATGTGGAGAAGCGCCGCGTTGTCCACATCCGCCATAGACACGCCTAAATCAACAAACTAGGGACGCAAGATCTGAACACAAGCTCTCAACAAGGTAACCTCGGGAGGTTGGTACAGGACGATCTCGGCTGTTCCAGACAGTCAGAGTGCATATAAAAAGTGAGCATTCGGGAGTATGGATTTATCCATCTCCACTGAGTCTCAAAGCCTACCTGCGTTTCAACGTTGAATACGTACTCTAGACGTAGCGTCCTTGGCTAAAGATTGACACTGTAGCACTGCAAACTCCCCAAAGTCAAGAAACGAAATATATCAAGGGATTACGTCACCTTCCTACCAGCAACGGCTGAAGTCACTCGCAGTGTTCAGTGATCGTTACCGGCGACTACGTGGAAACCTCATATTAGTTTACCAAATACTTAGCGACGCTGGTCACGTATGCTGCTACCTTTTGAAACTCAGCCAGAAGACCAACATTTGAGGCAATATCCCGAAACTGAGTCGAAAATGCTTTCCTCTAGATCGTTGACGAAGGTGATTTTTCTTCTGCGTCTGCCAACTGGAACGCCCTTCTAAACTCAGTTGTCTGCCTCCACCCTAACCCTTATCAAAAAAGGATTGGATATCGAACTGAACGCGCTTCACTTTGTTACATGAACGGATATTCTGGATATATTCAGGCCAACTAGCATTTTTGCATTAATGACCCACAGTGTCGCATGTGAATCTGTGCAGAGGGGTGAGCTATCTGATTATTATTTGTAAGCAGTAATAACCATAACAATATGTTATTACTTTTCGCTTGCTACTATCTTTTTCCCACAACCCACAATCCACCTTCTATACGTCAGTACTTTATTGGTTCACCGATACCTATATTTTATTTGGTCCACCTTTTTCTATTTCAACTGCAACTACTCCTATTAGTAACCTACGGGAAATGTTAAGCCTGTGTCTTTTTCCCCGTTATAAAACAACTTTTCCATTGTCGCCAGTCTTCCCCTAGGTGATTCACTGTGGTATATGCAGAATAAGGCAATATTTGTCAGTATTAATTTTCAGCTCATGTGTGCTTACCTGATAAAAGTTCAACGTTGTCGTTCAGCGTGACCATTGGTACCCGGACTTCAGACTGGCACAGCGGCTTGCTTGTGGTCATCTGACAGAAAGCAGGTGACACTGAATCACGAGAATGCCTGTTACATTTTCAATATCAATAACCTTGACAGTGGATGAACTCAGACATATTTCACTGTTTAAACGCCAACAACAGTGCATCCGACTATTGATTTTATCATTGTTTTGGCTATCCACTCGAATTGGTACTAGTAGAATTTGGAGCTCGGAAACATGTTGCGGCTGCTTAAACATTTTATTAAGGCCCCATTTTGTCACGCTGGGTTGGGAATAAATGTATGGGTTATACAGCAACTGTTAAACCTTTTGGATGGAATTTTCATAGTCCAAGTAAAGAAATTATGTACTCCAATTTTCCTAGCATCCATTCAAATAGTTCAATCCAATGGGAAACACCGTTTCCCGCTAGCCATTACTTTTCTGCCACAAACGAAACTACGCTAACTGCCACGCGTAGTTCGCTGGTACAATCGGGATAATTTGACTTCCGGGGTAATGAACACTATAAAAGTATAAATATGGAACGGATTAACGAAGGTTGTGTGGTTGGTAATACTGGAAATGTACCCGCATTATTTAGGACGTTGGATAATGATCAGCCTCAGTAGCGTGTGTACCTGCTTTATCCACCTTAACTAGCCAACTTGGAGGTTAAAAATGATAAGCGACAGCAGGACTGGCTCTTCCGTTGTACGGCAACAAGTGTGGCGCTGAGTCAAAGCAGATGTGCACAAAGTGGATAAGAGGAGGTCCATCCATCAACTCATGAAAATCACCACAAGTGCCCACTGAAAGGATTCACAGAATCCATCATCAATCTTGTTGCAGACGTGAAAAGACATCGACATACTTCATAAAACTACTCAGTCGCTTCTTAACTTAGCTTGGCTACATTGAGTAACCGTTTTTGTTCGTTTCCATTGAGCTGAACCATTTTGTTTTGTGCCCATTAAATCACGGGTACAAGTGTCTGTTCAGTAGCCATGTCGCCGCAATTCGCTTACTCCGGGATCCAAAGTTAAAGTCAGCTACATTACTGAACAATGCGATTACAGATAGGTTGAGCGCGGCTTAAATGCATCCCTTTGCTTACATTTTTCACCGAGTATTTTTACGTTCATTACTTACCAGTTTTATGTATAAGTAAGGTCAGTGCTTAAAAGCTTATAGCAACAAGGTGGAATGCACTTGCAAACCCACAGTCTAATACAGTTTGCATTCAGTGATGCGTTCTTGCATTTAAATGCTGTCCGACAACGGTACCAGACGGTTACATACTGAGCCTGGCCCAAACAACACACGGAATACTTGCGACTAATTACCAACGTGGGTCGTAAAATGCTATCATGTGATACACATACCATTCACTAATGTATTTGGCACCGCGTATAAGTCGCAATGGAAAGGAATGAGCCGAACGATAGACTAAGTTGCTAGGAAAATACAAAGCTGCATAGCCAAGGTAAGGGCCAGTGTGGTATTATCGTCTTAATCTGACCTCCAATGGATAAGATAAACAGTCATATTCACATCTATCCTGCATAGCAATAGATGTTGAGGTGAACAGCTTTCGGTGCTGTGCGATTAAAGACCCTACCCCACCTGAACCGGTTCGTTGAGTCTAATCAAGTTTTAGTTTTCATAACAAACAAGCATTAGGTCAAATTACGTGACGGCCTAGGCTACGACTTGCTTCCCAAACCCACAGCTGGTGCTTCACTTTCAAAACATGTTAGTACACTGTTTTTGGGATAGTGTAAGTTTTATATATATATATATATATATATATATATATATTCACAAGTCTGTATACAGACAACGTGCCATCAGGACCAAGGCTGACTGGAAGGCATTAAGTGTTCGAGAAAACCCGCTACTAGACAGTAGTTTTGGGCTTTACAGAAGCCTTTTTGAGTTTTTTCAATTTATATATATATATATATATATATATATATATACCTGAGATTAATCAAGAGATACAACGGTGCAAGAAAACTGGCGCCATTAATGTCATTTACGTGCCATCACATCTAGCGTTTGCAACTACAGGAATATAGTGTCATGTGGTTTCCCACCTTAACAAAGAGCCGTGTGGTCTGCACGTTTGCTTTGCAACCATAAGGTCACCGGTTCGAATCCGCGTAGGGGTGGGCGTCCTCGCGGTATACTCAGCCCACGCGCGACTGGTGGTGGTCGCGCGGCAGCGAAGCGCCGTTACGGCGTACAGCTGACACATTATTATTATTATTATTATTAAGCTTGACGCTGCTTTCATCCTGTTCTTTTTCCACGTCATTGGTTGTCCACCGCGATACTTTTTCCGATCGCTTCCGGGAAGCGCAAATAACGCTAGCCGGGGAAGGCGATAGGCTGGCATCCGCAATACATGGCCGAGCCAACGCATACTGTGTCAGAGAAAAATATTTTGAAGGTTGGGGCTGTTCACTCCAAGCACTCGTTCACGAACCTCCGTATTGCTTTGTGATGATGCCAACACACACGAGCGATTCTTCGCAGAAAACTGTTGTCAAAGACTGACAGTCGTCTCTTGTCCTCCTAGCGAACAGGCCAGGTTTCACAGCCGTACAGTAGGACCTTACGGACGGAAGCATTGTATACTCTGTCCTTGAGCTTGAGACTTACGTCGCGAAAGCGCCATAGGTATCTCAGTTTGATGAAAACACGGCGGGCTTTTACAATGCGCTGTGAAACCTTATCTCCAAGGCCGCCACCAGCCCTGATGCGAGTCCCTGGATAAATGAAGCAATCCACTTTTTCCCGAATGTCACCAGAAATGATGAGCGCGGACGCAGGCCTCTGTCAATCCTGAAATAGCACTTCACAGTTGGCTAGTTTGAAATACAAGCTATAATTGGATTCCTCACGCGTTAAGCGGTTCCAAGTGTTTTGGACGGTTTGCAGATCGTCACCCAGCAAAGCGATGTCATCGGCGTAGTCCAAGTCTGCGATTCTGGTACCAGTGAGAAGCTCAACACTACAATTCTGGACACCTTCTAACGCTCGTTGCACGACAGCTTCGATGGCAAAATCAAAAAGAAAAGAGGAAAGAGAGTAACCTTGTCAACCGCTACTGGTGACAGCAAACGAAGAGGAAAGTCCGCCGTAAGCCCTAAATTTGCCCGACTTGTGACCATGCAGTTCCCTCAAAATGGCGACAAACTTGTCGGACACACCGTTCTTTAGTAGACATTTCCACAAAGCAGCTCTGTCTACTGAATCGTATGTCACGCTCATGTCCAAGAACACTATGTGCGTTGGTCGACGGTGGACGTCACGGGGCTTGAGAATTTCTTGGCGTATGAAGGTTTGAACAACGCAACATCGGCATGGGCAAAAACCGACTTATTCTTCTTGGAAATAGCTCTCTCTGGTAAAGAAAAGCCTGCGAAATATGATGGACACAATGACCTTGGAAGCAAGTGTGATCCGAACGATACCGTGGTAATTAGCACAATTTTCGCGAGGCATTTTTTTGAAGCGGGACAACGATTGGTTCTCCCCATGAGTTGGGGAGTTTCGCATCGGTCCAGTCGTTCGTGAAAAGCGAAAACAGTTCGTTGACAAGTACATCCCTGCCATCTTTGAAATGGGCCGGAGGAAGGCTGCTATAGCCGGGAGCTTTATGCCGTTTCAATGATCGGATTGTGCTTCAGATCTCTACTTCGCTAGGAGGGTCACTGGGGACACGCCAAGCACCATCTGATGGAGATGGAGGAGTTACAGAGGGTTATGCTGGGTAGTTAAATTGAAGAGCAAACTGCTGTCCCCAGTGCTCCAATCGCGCCTGCAGGTTGGTGAATTTTGTGCCGTCTAACTCACAGATTGTCTGACGGATGGCGTGGGAATTGCAACCGGTGGCCTTGATGAGGAGAAACAAACTGCGGCAGGTTCCAACCGATGCAGCCGTCACCATTTCAGCAATACGGCTAGACCACCAGGATTCACGGTCTGTGCGAAGGCTAACTTTCAAGTATAGAGAAATAGACTGACGGAGTTCGTTTTGTTCCGTGCCGGCGGGTACGGCGCGTCGACGATTTGGTAGTTCCGAGGAAGTTGCCGAGATCCAGCTTATATGTGACATGATCAGCAAAGCTTCATCTATGCATTTCTCCCAATATAACGAATAAACCCGTCAGTCCCAGGGTACACAAGCGAACTTTACAATGGTTGCTATAGGTAGGCTATAAATGAAGGACAGTGGGCTATCTTGACAATAGCTCAGTCATTACGGATCGACGCCACACTCATGCAATCGTACGATTTAAAATGCGAATTGCGGTTCTTTTTTCCAAGCGGTTATAAATGTTTGGAATTACAAGGGTGTAGAGGAATGGAGGTAAGAAAAAGCCAATTGTTAATATTCGTACCTTACACTATCACATGTTTAGGTACATGCTTGGGACATGATTTGTTCCCGGAATTTAACCAAGGTAGTACGATACCGTAACAATCCTCCTGTGCGTTTATCCATCCAGGCAGTACACCCACTACTGTTAACTTACTGGATGTACAACGGATCTGTCCAACCTTTCTGTCGGTGTTTTTGCCCGTCGCACCAGTGAATTGGTCCATAGTGATTGGTGTCCATTTACGGGTGTGTGTGCCTGATCCGAAGCAGAAAAAATGGAGGTTTGCGTCGATGGTCGAGGACTCAGGGTCCGCGATGCTGTTTGGACAATTCTGCTGAGGTCGGTGTTCGTCGTCAGCGCGGGGGCGGGGGACTTGTTGAACAGGTGCGTCTGTCTGTGGCAGCCATTAGCGTATTGTGGCGGCAAATGGGTCGTCCCGGTGCTTGCTGCAGAGGCCACTGGTACAGTGCTCAACGAAGGGGAAACTGAGGTACCATGCCCGGTAATTTTTGATTTCTTGAGGGTGAATTGGGGAAGGACCGAAGGTGCGAAAGGCTGAGTGTCCAGGAAATCAAATTGTGTATGATGCAGCTCACTCAAGCTTACGGACTTATATGGATTGTGATTGATGGAATTATCTCCGCGCGTAGGAGTGCGGGATTGTCCAGGTGGAGCTAGAGAGAATTGGACCAATGGAAAATTGGAAACAGTGGTGGGAGCAGACAATCCCTGAGGAGAATTTGGAAATGTCACGTAGGATGGTGTGTTAGCCAATCTGTTTCGCTCTTCGTCATCCATTTGCTTCGCTAGGAGGACGTTGGTATCTGAGGTAACTGAACAGAAAAATATAGCCACATTCACCTTTTACAAAGATAAAAATTCCTAACAGCTGGACAAATCCAATACGCAGTTAAACCATGGACTCTAAGCATTGCACGAGAGTCATGTCATTAATTCGTGGAATTTCGTCTCTAACGTCTATCCAGTCATGCCCGGTGGCGATATACCATTATAAACAAATCTTGTATGCTAATTACAATCTAAAGCACTCAAAAAACAACGGACAAGCAAAGGTTGACCAAGTACTGACGGTTGGCAGCTAAGTGTTTTGTAGGCTTAAACGATGGTTGGCCAACGTAAAGGAAATTTCCCAAACATAGTTGCGGGTCTCGAGAGTGGAAAATATTAGTCCCACAGTAGGTAGAATAAAGGGTGACATTTCTACTGATCATACTAGATGGTACACTTTCAAAGCAGTTGTAATATATAACTCTACGTTGACCAAATCGTGTTTTTAGTTTTATGTATTAGTCTTGGAAGGAGTTTGAAACCCATCTTTTCCAACGCCCATCAACTAATCCCCTTCTTCATTAACAGTCATGTAACAGGTTGGAGGTAGAAAATTGAAATGTTATCGGAAGCAACCGCATAGTGACCGAGCCAGCAATGCCATTTTGCAAATAATCTTCTGATGCCAATCTAAGGTTTGGAGCAATTCAGTCAGTGACTGATTTTATTCAACCAGACGTGCGTTCCACAAATTACCCAAAAAGCATGCCACATCTGGGCATTGTCTTAGCGCTGCCGAGTCAGGAAAGCTGTAAACATCTTACCTTTTTTATGCCCGAATGGAATGTCATGTGATACGGACCACGGCGTCTACTTCTGCCAACAGATGATTCATTTCCCCTACGGAGCATGCGATGCATTAGGTGAACGGTTTATGTTTGTATAACTTGAGTGTCCATCATGGGAGCCCGTTTATTGGTGGTCACTAGGTATGGCGATGTCAGACCAGTTATGACGAGCGGTGTACCGTTTGGCGTCTGTACCTTATAGGGACAGCTACAGGTGTCAATCCATAGCTTAGATAAATCCTAGAAAGTAACCGCGCCTGTTAGGACTGCCGGGGATTGGTCGTAATATGAGATGCTAATGAACCGTGATTGTGTAGCGTAGAAAATCATATCAATTGGCCCATATTCGATAGATTTCAGGTAAGTACTGCTGGTGGCAAGTGTTTCGGTTCATTTAAGTGAAACTGAAGGCAAACCAGTTCCAGTGCTTTGTCAGTTTGTTCAGTTTTTCATTGTGCAAGCGTGAATAAACAATTTCTGACGTGCGCCATAGCGAATGAGGCATGGAAGTGTGTGTGTGGTGGAATCTTCCTGTCTATACGAGTCGGTAGATGTTCACATGATTGTGTGAAAAATCAGTGAATAATTTCCTAACTAAACTTCCGTAAGTGACTTCAAGCAATAGGATACATAGCAGATCAGTTGTTGTACAGTGTATAAGTTAATTCAACTGCTCAAGTCAAAAATGAAATGGCCTTCAGGGGAATATCTTGAATGGTGCTTATGTACACCTAATTCCTTCTTGATGCTTCCGTTGTGGTTGTGACCTGTGACTTTTACCCTACTGCTTGTATGTTACAGGGTAAAGTTAATCGTGAAGTCTATTTTGCATATTTTGAAAAGAGCAGTCTGTGGTTGCTGAAATTGTACGTTTAGCAATGTTACGTCTGCCATGGCCCATTCGAAATGTGACGTCCGATTCACCGAGCTATGAGTGCGCACTTGTGAGTAAATTGACAGTGACTGCTAGTGGACAATGGAAACTGACCGTGTTCCACTGCCCCCATGTTGTGTCCACCACATTTGTTGTTCCACATATACTTGTCCGAGCTCAAATAGGAATAAGCAAAACATGCGATAACTCCCCCCATAACCCTATGAGAATAGTTGTTTTACCCCTGAAACTCACTCACATATTCTTCACGACAGAAGCTATACTAAAATAGCTGTGGAATATGCGCAAGCAGAGTCCTCCTGGAGTTGATAATATGTACGCGAAATCGCTAGCAGCGGTAGGAGAGAATTTGGCTGAACCTTTGGTTTGATTCTTCCAACCCTGTTTTGACGAAATGTACGTGCCCGACATATGGAAACATGAGATGATTACTCCTATTCGCAAGGGAGGTAGTCGTTCCAATCCATCAACTACAGTCGCATTAACTTGCTACTAGTTTTCTCAAAATTCATAGAAGCTATTACTTCTGATGTGATGACGTCCTACTTGGGGGAATTTAACTACCTCGCGCCGACGGAATCGATTGTGTACTATAAATCTACTACTAGTAAGATCCAGCTGAACTGTAGCAGTAGACTATGGAACAGGACTTCACGTAGTCTTTCTCGACTTCCATCAAGTGTTCGACCGGTTACACAATGACGACCTACTCTTCATACTCTAGACCTTCCTCTTCTAGGATGAATCAAAATCTTTTTTCTGCAACGGCCCTTGGAAGTACGAATGCATGAATACCTGTCAAGTCTCATCCGATTTGAATGCGAAGTACCACAAGGATCAGCACTTGGACCGCGATTAGTTTTGACGTATATTAATGATATCACATGCTTCATAAGCCAAACTGCCTCCGTTACGCCAGTGACATGAAGATATGAAGGGCGATCAGCACATCAGATAATATCACAGTAATTCAAGCTGATCTGAATAGGGTATACGCGTGGTCAAACCAAAATCTACTTGGATTTAATGTGGACAAAAGTAGAATGCTGTATCTACGGCACAACTTGGTGTATTCCTACAAAACAGGCAACCAGGATCTTTAAATGTCTGCTGGCGACTTGGATTTGGGTGTTTTTGGTCTAGTTTGACCTTGGATGTTTGAATCAGGCTGAGACGGCGTCAAGAAGGGGCCACCAACAGATGGGCATCCTGAAGCAAGCATTTGGAAGATTCGACCAATCGATTAATTTACAGCTTCGGCTCAAACATACGTCCACAAATAGAGTACGCAATACAGGTCTGGCAGCCACGGCTGAGGAGAGATCCCATCGCCTTAGAGATTCCCAACGACGGACAACCAAAAATGTCAAAGGTCTGGATATTTTGCCGTATGCACGTAGGCTTCAAGTGCTCGGGATCTTCAGCGGACAGTATCGGCGATTGCGCGGGGACCTCATTTTGACTTATCAGGTTTTGAGGGATCACAACCACACGTGCAGATACTTATTGGAGCTCAGTCACAACAGAAATTGGTAACGCCACCATCTCAAACTGGTAGAGCAGCATAGTCGTTTGGAATGCCATCGGTATTTCGTATCTGTACTCGTTTGCAGAACGTGGAATGTCCTAACGGAATCTGTCATATGTGCTCCCGCATTAGCAGAGTCCAAAGCCCGAGTTGACCGTGCACTTAGTTTACTACATGACTCAGTACCTGTGGATAAACAGAAGTGTCTCTAAGAAATTTTACTGGCGTTCAAATCCCAGATTTCATTCCGCTTTTCCGCCTCCTATGTATGTACACTAGAAGATGCGATTTTTATCAACATCCCGTTTACTGTCATTCCTTATAAATTTACCTCTGATTTACAAGCATCTCAGTGAGTTAACCGGTGTAAACACAAATTTGCTAAAAACATTTCTTCTATTTTGAAGCTTCACCATAACCATGTTACGGGACCTTCTACGCATTAGCCTTTGTGTCTGAAAAAAACTATTGTTCCACTGTTCCAACAACTTTTCAATGAGAGTTCTTTTGCTACCGTTATAAATATCGCTTGGACTTAACTATGTTGAAAATGCCCAACTGATCTGTGAGCTTCCGGATAATGACAGCGAAAACGGGCATATGTCCAGGTTGTATAAAAACTTCTATATAAATGATCGCTCCCACTTATGGGGCGGTGTGCCGTCTGTCGGTAAATATAAAGATTTATTTTATTTATTTATTTATATATCATACCTATTGCGTTATTGGAAATCTTTTCATCTTTCAAACAGGAAACCGGAAAACTTGTGTCCTGAACCGTCTAACTCTCAACCAGATAGAAACTGGTTTTACCAAGTGTGAGAAGTTCAGGGGTTACTTGAGCCAGTTAACTACGGTTCTAACCAGCTCTTCAAGATATCCTGCGGAACTGGAGAAGATATTTTGTGAAGTTAATGTAAAACAGAGAGCAAAGTTAGGAAATTTACTCCGGAAGAATTCAAAAGTAGAGGTGACAGCAATATGTTTCCCTACCCAATGCGAAAACCACTTTTGCGATTTGTTCTGTTTGAACCTTCATTGTACCATATTGGAGGTCCTGTCATTAGGTTCTAAGTCCTGGTCCCCCAATAGAAAGGACACTGGGCCGGTATTGGAGGATTTATTAACAAATCTTTACGCGCAGACTTATAATTGACACCGTTTTCTGACTTTCAGATAAAAGAACTTAAGTTCTTGCGGATGCAAGCTTGCTACCAGTATCACCGATCTTTATTTGCTGGGTGCTAAATTATGTTCGCATAAAATAAACCCGAAACTTGATAAGTCCAAGTTTGTCCGAATACATTAAGTCCGCTGCTCGGATATCAACAAAGTTGTAAGCGGAGGGGAGCGCCTAGAGTTTACGATTCGTATTTGCTTATCGGAAAAGAAGAGCAGGTTTTAGGGAGTTACGGATTTTTTGCTCACCAATTCGTACCAATAGGAGGTATTTCCGCGCGCTACCCGCTTGCCTTGTTTGGTAACGTTTGGCTTCCGGTAGGAGTATTGGGCTATAATTCTTCAACAATCATTGAAGCTTAATCGAATTTGCGCGTATAAGACCTTTCTCAAAAAGCACACGTTCTAACTGACAAGTACAGTCAAACTCGGGAAAATAACTGATGGTTATGTCATGTTATCCGTTCTTTAATTAAAGTCAGTCAATGATGGGTTACAGCAATTGCCCAACAGTTCTGTAAAGTGCATAGAGCTACTTCCGCTTGCATTTCATCTGCGATTCCGACCTTCCCTCAACAAGTGAATGCGTCGAGAAATAGATGACGGGAGTGTAGCTGGGACAAATTGGTTGACTTCCTTGAAATGTTATATATCTCTACCTTTTGGTTTTGCGCCCGAGGAACCGTTCCCTACATCAGGTAACTAAAAAGTCAGATGTTTGATGCATGGGTCTTACGTCTAAATCACATATACCTGGTGTCTAGTTGATAACTCGAACTGACTTGAAAAGCTAAGCTACTTCTGTGAACTTACCGGGACTGCTGGAGGTATTAAATTTCTGTGGGAAAATGAAAAACGAGAGAAGTTCCGTGGCTAATTAATATCAGTTGAAAACCAAATACTGCAATAACTTGTCGTTCTTTTAATATCTTTCGCTTGACTTCAGATCTGTGCTACTCTAGATTGGGAGAACATGACAATCATAATTTTGCAAAGTGAGATTAGTACAACTGCTTACACCTCTTTTCTTGTTATTTACGCATTCAAGCAGTTACAATTCTCGTTCCTTATATACTTTGGAAACCCAGATGAGTTAGTGCTGCCAGAATTGAAAACTATGTGTAGATGTCTCGTCTTGAAAGTTGACAAATTCAAAACCTTGCCTTGCCAGGTGAAGGGATTGAGCAAAGCGCAAGGGCTTATTGGTCACAGAGAGCAATCCTACACAGACAACTATTGTCAAAGCTGGCAATGGCTTCATGTCTTCCGAGCGAATAGTCCAGATTTCATAGCGGTACAAGAGGACCGGATGGACAGAGACAGAGTACATCCTGCTCTTCAGCTTGAGACTGACATCGCGACGACGCCATAGGTGTCTCAGTCTGCTGAATGCAAGTCGAGCCTTTGCGATCTGTTGTGAGACTTCATCTCAACACCACCGCCAGCCGTGATGCAACTCCAAATATAAGCGAAACAGGTGACTTGTTCCAGGTCGCCACCAGTAATGGTGAGGGCAGGCTTGGGCATCTGCCAATTCTGGAGCAGTATTTTTCACTTGTCTGGAATGAAATACTTAAACGTCTCCATGGCTAAGCGGTTCAAAGCGCTCTGAGCGGCTTGTGGATCGTTCCCAAACAAAGCGATATCTTTGGTGTACTTCAAGTCCACTAGTCTGTCTCCTGGGAGAAGCAAAATACCACGAGTTTGGGCGCCTTCCAATACTTGTTGGACGACAGCTTCAATTGAAAAATTAATGTGGAAAGGAGAAATAAGCTAACCTTGGCCTACGCTGCTGGTGCCAGCAAACGAAGTGGAAAGCCTGCTGTAAGCCCTGGCTTTGTCCGACATGCGGCTGTAGAATTTCTTCAGGATGGCTACAAACTTTTCGGACACTCCTTTCCTTAGTAGACAGTTCCACAGCGCAGGTCTAGCTACTGAGTCAAATACCACTGGGATGTCCGCTACGCTTGTTGACCGCCGATGGACGTGATGATACTAAAGAGGTTGGCGGAGCTTGAAGATTTGATCAATTCAACTTCTGTCCGGAAGAAAACCAGCGCTTTCCTCACGGGAAACGCTTCTCTAATCGCTGAAAGCCTGCGGAGTAGGACAGACATGAAAACCTTGGAGGCAACAGTGATCAACGTAATTCCGCGGTAGTTGGTGCAAGCTTCGCGGGAGCCTAACTTGTGAATCGAGAAAATGCCTAATTCCCCATGCAACTGGGACTTTCTCGTCAATGCAAACCTTCGTGAACAGCGACAGAAATTTGCCAACAAGTGCATTCTCACCACCCTTGAATGGAGCCGGCGTTCGGCTGTCAGGATCGAGAGCTTTATGATGCTACAAAGATTGGGTTGCACTGCGGATCTCTGATTCTGCAGGAGGATCTGTGGGGATAAGGTAAGCACCATCTAACCAGACCTTGCTACTTAATGACGACGCAGTAATAAGCAAAGCTGACTCTAAGGGTCTTCTGACAAAAAGCTCCTTCATGTCCTACCGTCTGTTGGATTAGAAACTAAGCAATCAACGAGTTACAGTGCAGTAACAGCACAACATATGCTACACTAAATTAGTCACTATGGTTTGCGTAGTATCCCGTATCATTATGGTATTAATCCTGGGCTCATAAGAGGAAGTTGCGGGTCCTAGGCCCATTAGGGACAGATGGAATGCGCACTATTGACGATTTCCGAAACGGTAGAAAGGTGTTTCACTATTTTCCATGCACAAGATGGTTGTCTGACTCGGTGTGCAAGGAGTTTCAGGTTACCGAGTTATTCTTCAGGAAGACATTTCGTGCCCGACAATGAAGTATTTATTGTCGACATTTTAGGCCTCCTACATCATGCAGTTATTGTTTCAGTTTCTGCGCAGAGCAATATTTCGGTAGCATGTGCTTGCAGCCATCAGCTGACCTCGATATGGGATCCATCCGAACGACTGTGTCGCTGTGTTCCAGCTGTTTCGAATTACTGCTTTAGAAATAAACACTTGCTCCTAGGATACCAGCAACCTGCAGTATCTTTAAGTACTAAGGAAAATGGGAATGAAAACACCCGGTGAGATTGCGTTTACACGCATGCACCCGCTCCACTATACCAGTGGCCGGAGTACTTTCCAGCTTCAGCTAATTAACACAGCATGTTTCGCCTCGTGACCTGTCAGATTTGCTTAACGCAGTCTCATCGATTTTTCCCACAGTCGCACTTTTAACAACCGGAAAAAGTAGCGAAAAGCAATATTCGTGTTCGTTTGTGTTTTACGAATAGATTTTAACTTAAAGCTCCGTTAGCTTACCTGTCCGTTGGACCACGGCTGTTGTTTCGGTTCATCTGAAAAACGAAAAAAATATCCCTGCATGTACGGTTGTTAAAAGTGAATTTAGTGGGGCAAGGACCGAATATAATCTACTGTTTTCTTAAAGCCATAGAGTAAACTTTTCATTTTTGCGGCACGCATGATGTGGTACAAAATTGGCAGCTTTTGGCAATCATCGTGCATTCTGCTCCACTTGACATCCACTAAAGTTAGGTAGAAAACTATTTAGGCAGTCTAGAAATCACATTCAATCTCAAATAGCAGCTGTGCAATCTGGATGTAAAGGGAATTAATTATCACCCTTGCAGCTGAACGAGAAGTACTATAGCCGTCTACTTCATGCTGAAGTTACTGAGGAGCAGGAGAGTTGTTTGTTGATCGGTGACCCAATTTGACCTTGAAATACCGAGTTATAGTCATTTTTAAGGTGCTCTTAACTCGTGAGTTGCTTTGAAACATTGATCCCTTCAGATTTCTAAAAAGGCATTTTGGCGCATCTTGGACACACTACCCGTAAAGTATGTGACTTGCTCCTGGAAAACCCGGTTTTCCTTTAGCCGCATGAGAAACAAGGATTCTACACTTCGGTCTATATTTTGATGCTATTGCAAAGAGACAGTGGACAAACATAACGCTAGTGTCAAGACACATGGACAGGTAGAAAGATTGCTTCAAGAATGTAAAATATCTGAAGCATGATGGTATTATGCCCGCTTAACCAGCAACCGAACGAGTATTAATTGCGTTGCTCCTGTACCGACACGGTAGAAATTAGTCACTGTTGTAGACAACGCACTCCAGGTAACTCCAGGAAACTGGAGTGGTCTCCTGCATCCCACAGAGGACTTTCACAGTGGCCAGACTAAAGATGACGGAATCGGATAAACAAACTTATCGCAAGTCACTGAACACGATAAATTTTTGCCAATTGACAGCTTTCTGTCGTGCAGTGCATCTAACCTTTGTGGTACACAATATACACAGTCGGGGCTAAAGCAGTGATCTGATCGTGAAGTACTTCACTTTATCGGATGCATAGCTGTGCTGAATGAACCATGCACAAGACAGCCCTTTATGACGCACATGAAGCAAGTTCCCTTTGCTATCTTGATGTGAGTACATTGTTCAGAGCTTAACTTAATCTGAAAGTACTTGAGCACTATTCTCAGAAGTTCATTGCATGTCTTCTTATAGCGTTTCTAAAATGATGTGCTTAAATAGTTGATCTATAGAATCGGGGCATACCTTACATCAAAGCTGTCTGTCAAACCTCTGCTGTAATGAAAAGTAGTGTTTCCATTTGAGCACATACACGAACAGCCAGTAGAAGATTGTTGCTTGAGCCAAGTTGGCTGCTTTCAGCGGCACCGAAAAATTTGTCACTGAACCCGTCTCCAAAAATCCAATGCCAAAGGAGTGAAACTTTCCTACACAAATTTCCGCAGCACTGCTTTAAGATAACCAACCCAGTGATCATTTCAAAATGAGCAGAATGTCCAGTTTTAATGGAAACAAGGAAGTATCTATGCTTTGATTATCGCCTGTTTTATGTTATTTTGGGCATTTTAATGAGGACGGAGTAGGGTCATGCCTTATTGATTTTATCCGACTTTTGTTCTTCAGCAAACGCACAACGGCCTTTTTTTCCTATTTGATTTGCACAGAGGCTGAAACTTGATACTGAGGAATGATAGACAAGAACATCCGACTTCAATGAACACAGTCGGTTAACTCACACAAGCTGTTTTGCGCCTCATCTAGTGGGTGCTGAAAGTGATTGTTCTCTGATCCTGTGCACACCGTATGCTGTTTCGTCGGTTTGCTTAGCTCAGCGAACCGTTCCTGTTTTATAAAAGAAGGTAGATGGGATGTACTGGTGCATCTTAAGCACCAATGCTGGAGACCGATCAGCTTATCCATATTCTACTGAATAAATAATCATTTACGGGGCTAGGTGATTCATTCACAGTGTTTACTTTCGGAGTATGTGCTCTTGGTCACATGTGCAGAACAAAGCAATTGGGGACATGCGTGACAACCAAAACCGCACCATAGCCGCGGACTGACAAAGAATGGACCAGAAAAGGTTCACAGTTCAGTTATACATCAGCATTTGTCGCAAAAGATTTTGAGGTTCCTTAGGTTATTATGGATGTTTTAATGAAATAGCGGTTTTCCCGGAAGATATGCGGAACGAACCTTAGCGAAAGATGCAAAGAATGGTAAAATATTATGCATCATAAATATGCTCAGAAAACAGAATCGGCAAGAGCGTGTGACTTTCCCTTGCTCACGGTTATCGCTAGCGGGGAAGTTGGGTTCATTGTTTTGATAATATGCAGCTAATTTGATTGGTTGACTACTAAAAGAAAAAGTTGCATTGTCGATATGCAAAAATTTAGGTGAGGGGTTATGTAAGAAAGGCTTGCCACTGCAAATTTCCACAGATACGGTAACGTTTAGAAAGGAAGTTTTTTCGTATCCAACTCCCCTTGACCTCAGTTACTTACTCAGTCACTAAGTATGAAAAGTTGCTTCTCATTAGCTACCCGATTACTCGAACAGGCTAATACCGACTAAATGAAAGATGTGCGTACCTCAAATACGCCTTTGTTAGTGTTAGTTCTCTAGGAAAGAGCTCAGTTACCCGGATGGTATTTTAGCTGCTCAAGTGGGTGTGAACCAACTTAGAATTGGCTAACATCACTTAATTTTGCTTTGGCGGTAATTTGGCACCGAATCTTGACACATTCAAAGCAACTTAATATTCATAGGTTAAAGGTCGTGAGAACATCCAAACTTTAATGCATTTGTGATGTAGCCTTGTTTTAGAAAACGGCCGAAAAAGCGCGTACCGTGAGCATATCTGATTGCGGAAAGATGAGCTAAGAAAGCGTATCAGTTAAGATTCACTGGTCTAATTGTGTACAACAACCCAATTAGTGACGAGGATTTATAGAGGAATGCTATGATTTTGTTATCACAAATATGTAGACCATGGAGTTGGACAAACTGCCAATCGGAGATAAAATTTCGTCACGCAATCCCATATTGATAAAAATGGAGTATTATAGGGATATGAATGGCATGAGTAGAAATTCATCGCATGCAGAATAAACAGACAACTCTCACAAGGCCGGAAAGGCATTGGACCGCAGTTTCATCCTTTCGGAAATTCTCAGAAGTGCGCATTTTCTTTTGACACTTGTGGGCTCGAACCAGTAACCCGACTGTTGGCCGTCTGTGGTTAAGATCACTAGGCTACGGGAAACGGTATTGACCGACAGGAGGAGACTGCCTTGTCCTCTGCCATGTATTAACCTAAGCGTCAATGGAGCCTGTGTGGCGTTGCATCCCATCCAGTAACTTGCTCACCTCGGTCGAGTTGCTAGCTGGAGCCCAAACAAGAGTCAGACGGAATGCACACTGCTGATGATTCTTGAAAGGATGAAATTGGTTTCCAGTGCTTTTCCGAGCTTGTGATGACCGCATTCTTGAATCCACATGTGATGAATTTCTACCTATACCATTCACTTTCCCCTACTGTTCGAGTGTATCGGCATAGTCGGTTAAGTGTATGCTTGTATAGAACGTTGATCACAGGTGAGTCAGGAAGCTTAAATAGCAGACCATATCATGACGTTTGGAGGAACGGCAGAAGCAAAATAAATACTTGACTATAATGCATTGATTTTGCTGATGCATTACTAAAGCATGAGTGCAAATATCCATTACAGTGTCACATTTACGATTACTAAAAATCGATCAGCCCACATATTTGTTAGCCTTCAATGTCAAACCTGTACGTCACTATTCAGTAGATGTACTTGTTTCGCTTCACTGAATATGTATTTTTCGTCCACAGATGGGCTCGTTGGCTGCCCACCGATCTTAGCAAGGTTCGGAAACAATCTTCTGGTACAAGAATGCGATGAACATACAAAAAATTATGTTCACTCCCTTTCTGGTTGTGTAAATGATCGTCTAGTTGAGATATAATTCGTGTACCAGATTTCTAATTTAAGTTCGTCTGTGTATGGTGCGAAGTTCTGGAAGATGTCTAATAGCCCCATACCATAACCTCCATTGCAGGCTACGAAAGACAGGAAGCCGTTACTTTCAACAAGGAAGTGTGCATCCGATTTGAGTTTGACAAACTCGAAGTGTGGCTTCCATAATTGGGCGTCACCCAAGCACTGTCAGGAGCACTACTGAGTTGTAACACTTTTTTACAAGGCTACGCAAGAATGCAGCCGGCAACCACCACTCTTGTATGGGTCATTTGTTTACGAAATACGCAAGAGCTATATAAATGCAGGGTATCCACCTTCCATGCATTTCCGCGTGGTCTTATCCAGTGCAAAGTAAGGCGATAATCAGCAGTTAAGCCTGTCTCTAGCGTGTTTACCTGGATGCCTTTTCGTGTCTGCACTGAAGTTGAACTGTCTGGTGGAATATTGGATGGTAGACAGTAGGGCGCTTGTGGTGTAATCGCAAATTATGTGTTGGTAAATAACTAACTACAAAAATAAATTAAGCTTTTATTACTTGACAGTACAAGGCACAGACCAATTGATTGGTCTGATCAACAGGTTAACCCGTGTACTTAGTGAGACATTGCTCATTTAGTTTGTTTGTTGCCACCAACATCTTTATCAACATCTCTCTGGATCTCAGCTGGAACTGATCTACCGTTAGAGTCGAAACGTCTCATACACACAATCCAGTTTCATTCATTTTACCAAAGGTGTAAACATCAAGTGATTATCTATTGTGTCCTGAATTTCGCAACTGCTCTCCACTGGGCTAGCGGGACTGATTCAACCAGTAACCTCAAGCATAGCAATCGTTAGGGGTGGGTTTTCTGAGCTACGTGTCGCTTTTGAATGTGCTCTCTAGTATGTTCGTTTCATTAACAGAATTCGCATGGACCTGGGTGGACTCTTTTGATTTACAATTTACTGTACCAGAAAATAATTAAGTTATACAGTTGCCCGAAAAGTTTCAGCATTAGACTGAAGTTCAAGAATGCCACAGTCGTCTCGGACTTACTCGAAGATCCAGCAGCTGAACCTCTAACTCACGCTTCGCTTTCTCCAGATTAGCAATTTGCGTCTGTTGCCTAACCAACTCGGTCAATAAATTGAGATTGTCCAAACTGTCCGTGCCATTCACACAGAGTCCAGCTGGCTGAAATGAGAGGATTAGCAACATCTGAGGGAACACATGAGCAGTACTTTAAATTAAATGCACAGACAAAATTGTGTACTGTCACTAGGGTAAAGGTGAAGCATTGACATTCAACAGTATATGGAAATAGTTAATTTTCTTATATACAAATACGTTTGTTACTCGTTGTAACACAAATCCGAGGACACTAACCCCACCAAATTTCCTGCATGTGGCATGTCTGCGTGGTTAGGAGAAAGCGATATCAATAGAAACCAGGGTTATACCGTGCAAATAACTTAGACTAATCGCAAATGAACATGCCTACAAGTTCTAGCTACTGCACTGCATAGTATCAACGTAGTTGATTGTTTCATTTGTGCACTTCGGTGTTTTTGGATAAAAACACTGTTTGTAGACTGAAGATGTTTCCACAATTTGGTGCATATCTCCAAATAACAATAAACTACGCCGGTAGTAAAGCAACTCACTGTCGAACTAACAAAATAGCTGGAAATAATGGTCAGTTAAACGAGGAAAAACAGTCGAGGGACACTGGAAATTTAGACTGTAATGACAAAGCTAAACAATTTTTAGGAGATTCGGGTGTATAAACCAAACAAGGTAACAATGTTATCGCACCTTTCCTTGCATATAAGTAACACACTCTGCATGGTTAAACTTAACAGGATAAATTTGAATGGTGGAAAAGCTTTCACTTCAAATATCATAAGCAATGTAACGAGGTTGTTGCACGTTTCCTTGCATATAAGTAACATATGCTGCGCGGTTAAAGTTAATGGGATAAATTTGAATTTCGAAGAAGCCTGAACCTCAAATATCTTAGACAAGTAATTAACGTTCGATTGCCTGCTTCCTGTCATCTTCATCAGCGTTGGGCCATGGCTGGGCCATGAGGGTGGGTTATCCTAGCTGGTGTAATGCTACCCAGCCTAATTGTTGAACCTTACTTGAAGCAAGGCGACAGGAAATGCTAACACAGAATTTCTTTGCCCTGATTTGCTGAACAAAATGAAGTTTTACCAACTGGACATTGGTGACCTCAGGAACGCATGGTAACGAGTTGCGGCACAGACGCAACTGTCCAATTACTGTGACTGAGCAAGTGACTCTTTCTGTATGCCTGATTTTTCGAAGCATGTTTAGCACAAAGTTACGTAAGTCAATATTGCTGAATAATCTTAGAATCGACTTGGGATTCAATCTCTGATGTTCTAGTATGCAAATCGATGTTGCAAAGGCTTGTATTGCGGTATTACAAGTCTATTCATGGAGCAGGAATAGTGAGACGTATACACAAACACCAGTCAAAGCTGGACGCGATACAGTGCGCCGTTTACAATCCAGTGTGATCCCTATGACACTAATATTGCGTTGCTCCATGAGACCCATTTAGCTAGACAATGTGCTCTGCATTCGGACAGCACCAGTTACATATACTACTGGATTAGAAATGCCATTACTGTAGCGCATGAACGTGCCATTCTCTGTGCTGTATCCTGCTGTTTGGATGGACACAATAGGGAAAGCCGACCGGGGTCACTCAATGTACTGAAGACTGGTGCATCTTTTAATGACCTGTGCGTTACACTACTTAGTCGAACACGTGTAGATAGAAAACCAACTAACTCGAGAAACGAAGGATACCTACATGCCGTTACTTTGTAAGAACAGAGGGACAAGCACTTTGTTAACATTTATCATGACAACCACTCGTTGAATTCCCTTGGATGGGAGACATCAACGTTTCTGTTTGGTCCACTCGTCACACGTACGTTTTGCAATGTTACTCAGTCTACAATAAAATCCACATGGTGTTTGCGGCTTGCTTAGAGCAGGATTAATAACGACAGCGAAACCATCTGTTGCGCTCATAGCCTATCAACTTCACCAAAATGTTCGACACAATGGATTGTGAAACGCCGTGAATGGCCGCAGCTCAGTTCAGGTGACAGGGTAAGTGTGCTCGAACATTTGAACGACCGTGTGACGGTACCATTCCTAAGGTAGTGCTATGTGGGCAAACATCGGATAATTTTAAGGTTGCCACTGATGTGTTGTTCATGCAAACACTTATCCGACCATTATACTTTCATGTACATACAAAGCACGTAAATGCGGTATTCACGTCGGAAGAAACATGGATTGTGGATTACCAAAAATCCACTGTTTCGAAGGGCTTTAAGCAACTAGCAAGATCTTCGCAGGTTACTGTGTATTGTTTGCATACGACGATGGCAAGCTGCAAAATGTGAAGACGATAGTATTTTTCTACCTAAGACAGTGAGAAGACTGGTATTACGAGATAAAACCATTTTGTGTTATCTGCTCACTCACGAACTAACAACATAAATATGAATCACCTGACAGCAAAATCGAAGCTTTGAAACTGGTCACAAAGGGAAATTACGTAGACGCAAAAATAACAGTTTGAGCCCCAAGGAAGCTTTAGGTAGACTGTTAATTGTTTCTGTACACAAAGGATAGGGCGACGCCGGCTAAGTGTCACAGCTTCGACGAACCTCAAAACTTTGGGGTTTTCATTATGATACATAACTGTAAATGTTGACCCAGGGTCTACCTGATGACGTGTTTCTGTTAGATGTCGGTAGCTTAGATAATATTTCTTGTTCGTCTAGATATGACGAATTGCTACCTATACCATTTAACTCCCTCTACTAATCCTCTGTAAGCAGTACACAGACCAAATTGCTTATAATAGCAAAGATTAATTGGCGACCTAATTTTGGTAAGTTCGTCACTTAGTGCGGGGGCTGTTCTGTCCTCTGCAGGATAGTAATGTGTAAGTCAGTGGATAGTTAGCGGCGCTATATCACGTCTAGTAACTTATTCACGATGATCATTTCCCTCCCCCCATAACTCAGTGGTCTCAACCACGGACTGGCAATAGTCGAGTTACGGGTTCAAGACCTACCAGGGTCCCATGGAATGCGCATTGCTGACGATACCCGAAAGGATGAAACGGGCGTACAGTCTTTTTTCGGGCGCGTGGTGGCTGGCTGAGTGAGTATAGATGTGACGAATTTCTACCTATTATGTAATTAGCAAGCCGCATGTCGGGATCTCAGTCTGGATGACCAAAGCAGTCGCCTGCCCCAATTGATGAGCGCCGGCTTACCGATTATCCTCCAGGTGAACTCATATCGATGTTGCCATGACTTCACTTCACCTGTCACCGTGGAGACCGTTCGCTTACACAGTGCAACTCCTCCAGACTACCCTCCACACCCCCTCAGACTTGAACCATCCTCCCGCCCCAGGGGTACACACCTCCATGTTCCCCCCACCCCTCACTTTTTGACTGAGCCAAGCCGAGCCCCTATTCTAAAGGCGTGCTTTAGATCCTTCTGATGTTAGTGTGTGTGGGCCGGAATAGAGTCGATACTAACCCCAGCGCTACCGTGATGCAACCAACAAGGGCAGTGCACTTTCAAGCGTTTGTACAACGGCCTACCGATATACATTGCTCCACAGGTGTACTCGAACTAATAAATAACCACAGCGGCGGTCAGAATCGGCGACTTTAGAATAGTGTACAAGGTTTTCCCGCACCGGTCGAAGGATCAACGGCTCCGTACACTTGTTAACCCTGATAACATTTGCATGCGATTGCTTCAGCCGCCTTTATGTTTCCAAAAGAGACTAGTCCCGACTCTTCGTGTTCCCTGGCCAGCGAAAACGGAAGGCACAGAGGGCAACTGTTGTGTGTCAAACTTCATAACACGCAAAGTAATCAATTAAGGTACAGTACACTTTTCGTCTATGCTATCTTAACTAATTGGGTCGATTTTACTTGTATTTTGCTCCTACATATTATTGAAGTAGAATCACTTGAAGCAACTGCTTGCTAAGTAGTTTCTTTGTTCTCGAAACACAAATTGAAATTTTCTGGTTACTAAACGGAATGCATCAGTCGACGCCAGCTCTTCATCATCACTGGTAAAATTTCTTGTACAGCGCTGCATAACTTTTGGTTTTGGCGATGAAGCTCATCGTTTAGCAACTTGAAGCTGTGCTTTAATGGTGCTCCCGATGCTACTCCGTCAGCTGTACTGGACTACGGGAGTCCAAATATCCAAATTATATGCAAAACATATTTACGCTGTTAATGAAATTCAACAGTGTATCGCCTCACTGGAAACACGCTGATGTTGTACCGAAATGTAAAAATGGTTCAAAAGGGGCTGTAGCAAATTACCATGCGATTAACCATACTTACGTAATTCTTAAAGTTATGGAGGAGAGTATAAAAGCTACGACTTCTTGGTTTTTAATTTCAAGAGATCTAGTCAGCCAATTACAGTCCATTGTTCGCAGATATATTCATGGCCAAATCGTTATATGGATGATATATTTATAGTGGCGGATAAAGGCATAAATCTGGATGGGGTTCTCAATCGTATTAACCGGGCTCACGCAGCATTGCAATTTACCTACGAGACAGAAACTTGCAATCGGCTTCCATATCTATATGTCTTGTTAACTAGGAGGCCAGACGGCTCCATCCAGCGGAAAGTCTACGGAAAAAATACGTGGATTGGTCAATATACGAATTTTCACAGTTTCGTCCCACTGAGATATAAGCGAAACTTAATCCACTGCCTTACCACAAGAGCACGTAGAACTTGCTCACAGGACACCCTGGATGAGGAACTAGCCTTTATAAAGAATACGCTGCGCGAGAATGGCTATCCTGATAGATTTGTTTCAAAGAATTTTGAAGAAAAACCCAAGCCGGTACCAGTTTTAACCGCGGCGAAGGAGTTATTTTTAAGAATACCTTTTGAGGGGGATGCCGCTGCCGAGCGCCTAACCAAAAGTCTTTCAGCTGTAGTCAAGTCGACATTCCCAGCAGCCAGGTTAAAGTGCACATTTTCTACTGAACCACTTGTTTGTTCACGCAATAAGGAGACACTGCCAATGCTGACCTCATCTATGGTTATTTATCAGTTCAAGTGCGTTTGTGACGCTACTTATAT